TTTTCGGTTTTGCAGTAGGCTAGCTTTTGAACTCTAGCTCCTTTTGTATTAAAAAAGGAGATGTATTTCAATAAAATACTGACTTCTTTAATGCTGTAATTACTGGTGCTTTTATTTACTTTATATTCACTTATATGTATTTTCTGAAGGCATTCTGAAGCTGAATTTTGTCACAAGCTCTTAATGATATTTAAGCTGTTAAATTTCCATCCCCCAAAAAAATCAAAACTGGTAAATAAAAGACAGTCAGGACACAGGAAGAAATTACAAAAAAAAAAGCTTTCCTTTCTCTTTGGAGTGTTACAAGCTGATTGTGCATAGATAAGATCCCTGAAGTTGCAAAGACTAAAGTCTCAAAACCAAAGAGATATTCTTTATCAAAGTTAAGACTCTGCCACGCCCCCCTAAAACGGCTCGTTCTAACATGCCCCCACATATCTACCTCACTATGTGGAAATATTTGCATAATGCCGCCCAAATGTTCACGCAAAGAAAGAAGGCGTGATTTCAGTAACTGCAGTTAGTGTTGAAGCAGCATGTCAGGGAGACGCTGTGTGTTTCTAGGCGAAAGCAAAAGCACTTTATTTGGCCTTCCAGAAGTAGATGCATTTAGGAATCTTTAAGATTACTTACAACAGAACAGCCATGCATTTTATGGACGACCGTTTCGTGAACCTAGGAGAGGAGGTAATTCTGACTTTGCTATGACAATCTGGCGCTTCTGAATCAGCTACTGTTTTGTTATTAGTTTAAGTATTTGCTATTGACTGTTCAAATGCAGAGTTTTGCACATCGTGTGTGAGAGAGAGAGAGGGGAGGGGGGGTCACATCACAGAGTCAGCTGTCTAAACCGTGGCTTGTGTACTGCAAACACATACCAGCTTCATCACTGTGTCTGTCACGCGACTCTGTTCCCCTTTCGGGCTCTGTCTTTACATTTATTTTGAAAGATGAAGCTCGCGATTATGGTAAGGGGCGTTACATTTCCGACGAGTGCTTGCGGTGTTTCGGCCAATCACAATGCACTGGGTCAGCTGGCCAATCAGAGCAGACTGCGCTTGTCGGAAGGAGGTACTTTGTAGAAAACGACGCGGTTGAGAGAGGCGGGGCATAGAGGACCTACAATAATGTACAGTAAAAATATGAAATGAAAAATAATGTTTTTTGAACATTAAAGCATGTCAACATATTCTGTTACACCAAATACACAAAATAATGATCTTTAAAAAAGCATCATATGACCCCTTTAATTAAAACTATTCCCAACAAAACATCAAAACATGGTTTGTTTGAAAGAATAGTGAAGTGACAGTTACATTTTTTTTTTTAAAGTTTTTGATTTTTTGACATTAGTGGAAGCTAGATTTATAGGAAGGCAGTTTGCTGAACTATTATATTTATAGGCACTAGTTTCAAACATAACTGTAATGCCTCAAATACCTACAAATTCCAAATGCAAAGAAATTCAACAATCATATGCTAAAATACATAGCAGCCAATGTAACAGTAAAGCTGCATTTTATTTGAATGTTACAATAATTTCCTCCTCCTTGGTACTGTATTCATACAGGCCATTCTTCTAACAATGTAGCAAGTACAACGGGTGTTATGAGAAGTGTTCCCGGTTCCGGTTGTCCTAATTAATGCAGCCTAAAAATCCTTTAACGGATTTGAATATTAGAAGCGCATTAGTGTGTTATGTGTAAGCCAGGTTAAAGAGATGGGTCTTTAATCTAGATTTAAACTGCAAGAGTGTGTCTGCCTCCCGAACAATGTTAGGTAGGTTATTCCAGAGTTTTATTCCAGAGTCCACTGGCAGGGTGAACAACAGGTACTGTGTCTTTGGGATTGACTTGGTAACCCATTCTGAGCTGGTGAGCAGTTCAACATCAAGACTGTTCATGATGATCTTGGCCACTCATTTCACCTCCAAATGGGATGCTGAAACGGTTTGCTCTCGTTTCTTTCTGAGGCAAAGCGGTCAGGATCAAATGAATAATGGGATCAGTCTCATGCATTTCACTGATGCTGTATAAAACACCTCATCCCTTTGGGATCAGGAAACGCTGCAAAAAGCAAACAAATAGTGTACAGCATGTATTTATTTATGCAGTAATGCAAATTTGAATTTCTGACATTGATGGAATTTGATCCTGAACTCCACTTAGATATTTCTGTCTTCACCAGATCTTGCAGATATGGAACACTCTTAAAGGTAAAGGTTCCACAACAAGTTTTTCACAGCGATGACATAGAAGAAACGTGTTTGATGACATAGAAAGAATGTTTGATTCCCCCCCAAAAACCTTTCAGTGATCAGTTCTTAAAAGTTCAATTTTTTTCACTATAAAGAACATTGTGTGGAATGCAAAGACTCCTTGGATGTTAAAGGTTCTTCATAGAAACATAGATACCAATAAAAATATATTTTTAAGAGTGAATGTAGTTCTGCAAATCTGTGTGACTGAATGCCTTTGCCAAAATCAGGATAGGTTCAGAATAAGAATCTTGAATCTAAGAATCGTGTTATGATTAAGAGATTGTTTTTAATTGGTGTAATGTCTCACATTGCGTTTCTTCTCGTGAAGGTCCCCCAAGGAGTTGGTCCTTTATTTCATCTCAAGCTCTTCACTGACACTGTTGTCTGACATATCCTTAAAAAAACTTTAAGTGAGAAAAAAACTTGCAAAATAGATATAATTCATCAAATTTTTACTAGAACTTTTTTAGTATTTTTACTTATTCCTTTCATTTATTTAATTTTTAAGCAATCTTTAATTGGCTGTTATCAATTGCCTCAATCAATTGAGGCAAAAAAACATAACTATTTTATATATATATATATATATATATATATATAATGAGGTGCCAAACAGGAAATAATTATATCAAAATCTGAATATATAGATAGTTATAAGTCTGAAAATATAGAAGTAAATCTGAATATATAGTTATAACTCTGAATATATAAATGTAAATTGTAAATATTTAATTAAATAACAGATTTACCTCTATTCATTCAGACTTTAATTATATATTCAGAATTATAACTATGTTTTAAGATTTACATTTATATATTCAGACTTATAACTACATATTCAGATTTGCTTCTATACATTTACAATTTACATTTATATATTCAGATTTACTTCTATATATTCAGATTTATAAGTATATATTCAGACATAATATATTCAGGCTTATAACATATTCAGATTTTTATATAATTATTTCCTGTTTGGCACCTCATTATATATATATAATGTTTTAATCAACATTTGACTTATTTCATCTGTTATCTGTTCAATTTTACACTTAGGTAATTGCAAAGCATTGTGGGATTGCACTTGCTTGGATTGTGATTATGGCAGATATTGTGCATCCTCCACAAGCTGAACTATGACATATATATATATATATATATATATATATATATATATATATAAACTCATATATATATATATATATATATATATATATATATATAAAGCGACATAAAGGATACTCGATGAGTAGCAAAAGCAAAGGATGAAGGAAGGGAAAAAATGTCACTTTTAACATTTCATATCACAAAAAGAATCAAAAAGAGTTTCATATCACAAAAAGAAATCTGGATTTCATTTAAAAAATCTTTATCTATAAGACACAGAAGTGTCCGAAGTTGTTAAAGGGGTCATATGATGTTGCTAAAAAGAACATTATTTTGTGTATTTGGTGTAATGAAATGTGTTTATGCGGTTTAAGGTTAAAAAACACATTATTTTCCACATACTGTACATTATTGTTTCTCCTCTATGCCCCGCCTTTCTGAAACGTGTAGATTTTTACAAAGCTCATCGTTCTGAAAAGCAAGGTGTGCTGTGATTGGCCAGCTATCCAGAGCGTTATGATTGGCCGAATACCTCAAGCGTGTGACGGAAATGTTACGCCCCTTACCATACTGTGATGCCCTGTCAGGCCGGAGCGATGATTCAAAAACATGAAAACCCATTATAAACGAGGCATTCGTTGCATCCAGTGGGGACATAATTATGGATTATAATGACTTGTACTGTCTTTTTACGTGTTGCGTTGCATCGTGCCGCGTAAACATAAATCCATGTCTGCATTTGTGATCGGAGAAATGACAAACAACAAGCCCTACTCTACATTGCCCAAAAAAACTCGCTTTAAATATAAAAAATGTAAAATATAAAAAACTTACTTACAATCTGTGAGTCAGAACAGCCGGCATTGTAGTCTACTCTTCCAGGATCAGGAAACAGTCCTCCATAAAATGTGTTGCACACATCTGAATATTTGGGTTGAAGTGTTCTGGAACAGGTTGCATCCAGTGGGGACATAATTATGGATTATAATGACTTGTACTGTCTTTTTACGTGTTGCGTTGCATCGCGCCGCGTAAACATAAAACCATGTCTGCATTTGTGATCGGAGAAATGACAAACAACAAGCCCTACTCTACACTGCCCAAAAAAAACTCGCTTTAAATATAAAAAATGTAAAATATAAAAAACTTACTTACAGTCTGTGAGTCAGAACAGCCGGCATTGTAGTCTACTCTTCCAGGATCAGGAAACAGTCCTCCATAAAATGCGCTGCACACATCTGAATATTTGGGTTGAACTGTTCTGGAACAGTGTTGTAAATACAACTTAACCACTGATTTGTAGTCGTGTCCTCTTTTGGAAGACCAAACAAAGTAGTTTCGCTTTCACAACGAAACACGCAGCGTCACAATATTCAAAACATTGAATATTTAACAATTAACATTAATATTTAATATTAAAATAATATAAACTCAACAATAGAATAAGACAATTCACCAGAAAGAAGTTTAACATGGCTGGGTATCTTAATTTAATTAAAAAAAAAAAGTATATATTTTTTAATTTAATAAAACTAAATTAAACTCTTTCTATTTTAATCTGAGGAGTTTATCTGTATATAGAGTAACAATGTTGTAAAGACATTGAAAGCAAAAAAACAATGGATCAAAATGTATTTTGTTGTGAAATTTTATTAAAGCACACACATAAAAATGGGTGGATCTTGAAAACAACTGAAGTCACTTGGGTTTGTGTAACTCCAGGTACTGCCAGTAATTGGATATTGTGATTCTGTTTGCCTCATTGAAATTTTAAATATCTGGGTGACACTTTACAGTAACTTTCATTATTATTAACAAATTCCATAATGCCTAACAGATCATTAGTTAATGTACATTCAAACACTTGTAATATCTGAATGTAAAGGAACTACTGATTTGCTAACCATGTCTTTAAGTTATGAGAGATATTTTAAAGTGAAACCAATATTAGTGTTGATACAACCATAAGACGACAGAAAACTGAAATATGGAAACATCCTCAAACGACACACGTGTTATGCTTTACATTCCATTTTCCCCCCAATTTTAATAAAATAGTATGGTGTATATACAGTGGTACTTTAAATACATAAGCATACAGTTGCTTGTTAAAAGGCAAACTTAAATAATTTTCAGTGCAAAATGCCTGCTCAAAATAAATTTTAAGAAACAAAATAAAAGCATGTGGATGCAGATATTAATCTGGAATTTTTCCATGTCTGTAGCTGGACTAATTATTGCTTATTTATTTTCGCCTAAAAATGAGATTCTAAAGCATCTGACCCAAAGCTTTCATTTCACCCTGAGAAAATAAAAAATTTAATATAATTCTGTGGTGCATTTGTTCATCATTCAGTGAAATGCAGCTGACAATTTTAGATTCTTTTCAATAAAGAAGAGCTGTTTGTGCACACGAGTTGGAACAAAGTCTGCCAACGTAAAAGAAAAAACGATGCATTCTCATGCAAATGCTAAACATTGGTCTGCCAGTCTACTCACTGGCAGACCCATGGGAAGCATGATTCCATAGCGGTGTTAAATATATTTAAAAATATTTACAATAAAAACTTCTTCCATGTTACACCAGGGAGAATTTCATACAGGTTGCAATATGACCATCAGCATCACCAGTCACATACACACCGCCGCTCTCTCAAGTGTAGTGTTAGGAGTCATTGCACTTTCACAACGTACAAAACATAATTCTCAACCTTTAAAAATACATTACAAAAAATTACTGCATAACTTCACTTTTTTTTCTCTTCATTTTTGCACCATATTTACATTATTAACCTACAGTGGTGAATATTTTGGCAGGAGACATGGAGGATGCAGTCAAAATATACCACAGTACTTTTGAGAGTAGTTAGCTTACAGCGAGTTATTGGATTTTGAAAAAAGGGCCAAAGCTAGAAGTATAACATAGTTTGCAAGTTACATTGTCAAACCCAGCCCAGTGTTTGGAATTCATGTGGATGCCTCTAGGAATGCTGGGACATTCCATTCACCAGACTTCTCAGCTGCTTCACCACGGTCTCGATCAATTTCTGCTTGTCACGGTCGTTCTTCCTGAACTGGGAGAAGATGATGTTCTTTTTACTTGTGTCTTTCATTCTGGAAAAGCAAAATGAGGGGATAATATTACAGTCGAATATATGAAGAAAATAAATAAATATCAGAGTCCAGAAAACATCTATTATTATTATTTTCCACATTTTAGAATAATAGTAATGCCAACTAAAACTTTTTTTTTTGAATATTTATGAAATATCGTGTTTCATATTTTGAATCAGATTTTAATTTGAGCTTACATTTTAGTAAAACTTTTCTGTCTTGTAAATATAGTTTCTATTAAGTTTAAGTTATTTTAGTACTTCAACTAAATGAAAAACTGAACATTTTACCTTGGTAAGTTAATGTTTATTTGAACTGTTTTTATTAATATTTATCTTTTTTGGACCACAAACATATTTTGCAACCCTTTTGGTGATGCTAGTGATACAGAAATAACACGCTTCTCTTTTAAACTCGTATGTAAAAATTTCAACAATTCCAGTATAAATGCATATTTTTATGATATACAGTGGTGTGAAAAAGTGTTGGCCCCCTTTCTGATTTCTTATTTTTTTGCATGTTTGTCACTTTAATGTTTCAGATCATCAAACAAATTTAAATATTAGTAAAAGATAACAAGTGAACACAACATGCAGTTTTTAAATGAAGGTTTTTATTATTAAGGGAAAACAAAATCCCAAACTACATGGCCCTGTGTGAAAAAGTGTTTGCCCCCAAAACCTAATAACTGGTTGGGCCACTCTTGGCAGCAACAACTGCAATCAAGCGTTTGTGATAACTTGCAATGAGTCTGTTACAGCGC